TTTGATTCAGAAGATGTGTAAAGAGAGGCTCTGAGGTTGACAGGACACGAGAGCAAAAAAGCAGGAGGGAGGGTAAGAGCGACCATCTTCATCGAAAGCGAAAGAGAGAAGAACCTATGTACTCAGCTTAGCTCTAACTTATAAAAACATTATAAAATGTGATCCAGCTCAAGTTGGCAACTAATTACTCCATTAACCATAATTCAGTAATCTATATTTCCTCCAATAATCCCTGCAGTGGGAGCTATTTGATTTACTTTTATTTAATGCGTGCATTCCTACAGATACATGTTGTTTGAATCAGACCTTGGACCTTTTGATTTATCACCCCATCAACCTTTTATCCATTAATCAAGCTATTTAAGATTTAAAAAAAAAAGCTTTGACAAGGCACTAAAACAAAGTACAAAGATGGAACATAATGTCCTGACAGAAAAACTAAATATTCATGAATATACTGTTTACATTGGCTTTAATCAGAAGATGAATGTCATAATCACACGATGCATTATTATAAGCCATAATTTCCATCATTATAGTCCTGATAAAGCTGACATGATAATTTGTAACATGCTACACACTAAATACTGAGATCACAAATAATGAAGATGTATTAAATAATTGTACTGCCTTTGGATGTTAGGTTGTGAGTTCCCTCTGAACATTTGTCAGTGAGTGTGCGGCAGTGAGGAAATGGAGGGCATGACTCATAACCTTTAGTTGTAAATTTAAAGTCCCTATCTGCATTTGCTGAACCCTCACACAGACACACACAGAGGGACGTTCGTCCTTGGGCTCAGTGGGAGAACACAGAAAAACGGATGACACACAGGTTTGTTAGTGCGCTGGCCACAGGATACAAGACATTTATTTATATTTTTATTCAAACAGTTTTAAAAAAGTAAAGCATGTTTTTTCCTTTACACCCCAGGCTAGGTTACATTATTGCATAATCAAATACCTGCTTATCAAACAGAGTAGGAAGTATACTTAACCTCTCTGTTTTGAAAACCCAATAAAAACGACAAGTAGTAAGTTATTTGACTTAAAATACAGGATTTATATATACACTTGCTAAAAATAAGTTTATACAAGACGTCAACGAACGTTTTATTAGAAAGCATTTTTTACTTTGTGCTTACCTTGTTTTTGCTTCACCTCACGGTCATCTTTCCTCATTCTGTTCAAAAACACCTTGCAACGTAAAATGGCCAAACCTAGAGCTTGGCCTTCAGGGATGAGAAAACAGACATTTTTAGCTTTGATGTTGCAGGTTTGAAATTACTGGGGAGGTTAAAGAATTTACTATTATTATTACTATTATTATTATTATTATTATTATTATTATTATTGCATTATGAGTCAAGCACTTGCATGTCCAATTATTATTACCACATCGATAATCGGTTATTTATCTAGTAAGTAAAACAAATAAAACAGGAAATAAAGATAACTGAGTTCTGCTAAATGCCACGAGACTTTCCATCACCGACAGGCGTGTTTAGGAGAAAAGCTTTGATGGGAAATGAGTTTAAACCAAAACTCAGCAGTCTGAGCGATAACAAGGCAGTGAGCTAATTAGCCTTTATTTGTAGGCCAATTACATGCCTCATAAAGGTCACAATGCATGGGCCTTTGCATCTTCTCCTTATGGCGCTGATATTTCAGCAGAATACATCAGACATCAACACAAAGACTGAAACCATCTTAAACTGCTCTCTGTGGACCAGAAAAACTCAACTGATGTATGTAGACTGTAGGACTAGCAAGAAATGACAACAGCTACAGTTCCTCCACTGTTGTCAGTGTGCCATGTCCCACTTAGTGCAGTAATAACCGTTAGAGGATGCACAGTACAACATATTAAATTTATTCTAGATGTGTTGGAAAAAATCCTTATTGTAGCAGCGATACAATGTTTACCATGTTGTAGATCCAGTTCCTTCATGTTGGTTTGTTTGGAAATGGGTTAAAGTAGCAGGTACCTTGTAAGATCATCATTTTACACCAACAGTATTTGAACCTTGTTCAATATAACAAACTATTGGATCAGTACTGTACAGCAGTACTTTAACTAGAATAAACACTGAGTAGATGAATGAACTACACTATAGTAAAAGAAAAAACTGTCATATTATTTTTGACTATTTTTATGACTATATCAGCTGCAATAAAACCCTGATTGAACAAATAAATTAGTAGCTTGTTGAGTATAAATGCAAACTTAAAATTTTATAGCCTTTGATTTATTGCAATCTAACAAGTCGTTATGTTTGCAAGACAAATAATCAGATGAAACGGCCATTAGGAATAAAAATGTGTCCTGTAAATTCCCTGTTCAGATTATTTTTTGTTGATTTGTCTCGATCTGAATGAATTTGTAATCAGAATGAGACGGGTGGTTTATGCCGATTCATAATCCGAATTGTGCATGTAAACATTTGATCTGATCATTTTTTCTGATCGTGGAAAACTGACCCGACTGTGCATGTGCAACATATGTCTACCTCACGTATTTCCACCTGGCTAATGCTAATATGTCGGAGAAGCAAAACTGGTCTACTAGAAACTTTGAAAGAGCTCAGAATGATCTGTATCACCTGCAGCTCAGTCAGGGAGTGCAGCAGCGTCTCCACCGTCATTAAAACCTGGCGCGGGTCCATTTTGGTGCTCAGGTTTGTTTACGTTCATCACGGAAGTAGAACTTCTTCTTCTTCTGTGTTTTTTTAAGGAGAGTTTACCGCTCTGCACATGTCAGTACTTCTGTTCAGAACAAAGCCCGCTGCATGTAAACTCTTGCTGTGAACAGATTGTGCCCATGTAAATGACACAGTAGGATTATTTAATCTGAACACATGTCAATCCGATCAAAGAATTGCATGTAAACATTCACAATATTTGTTGCTCACATTGATATTATGAAGAAGTTCAATTTTTATATATTGTGCAGCCACAAAATAAAACATTTATAAAATTTGACTCTATGCTCAAAATATATCAATAAAATGTATGTAAATTATGTACTCCTACACTGCTGTGGAGAAATGAAACTAAATTTTGTACAATTCTGAATGACAATAAAGTTTATAAAATTTTAAAAAGGTTTTTAAAGTGAGCACACCAACATTTAAATAATTAACAAATCCAGGAAATGTTGTCTTTTGCCAAAATTATAGCACATTCTAAATGAGATAATTTTCCCCAATATGTGTCAATTTAAATCTGTCAACTTTAATACAGATTCAACCCAGACTGAGGACCATTGTTTAAGACATATAACATATCCGCTCCACTCTAGAGAGAGCGCTTTTTACAAGAGTGGAACTAACCAAAAAAAAATATATATATACAAAAA